CCCGTCCATAAAAGTTATGAACAGGACCGGAGACATAGGGCAACCTTGGCGGAGTCCAACTCCCACCGGACAAGAGTCCGACTTACTACCGGCAATGCGAACCAAACTCTGACTCCGGTCGTACAGGGACCAAACAGCCCGTAGCAAAGGGCCAGGTACCCCATACTCCCGGAGCACCCCCCACAGGATACCCCGAGGGACACGGTCGAACGCCTTCTCCAAGTCCACAAAACACATGTGGACTGGTTGAGCGAACTCCCACGCACCCTCCAGGACCCCGCTGAGGGTATAGAGCTGGTCCAGCGTTCCACGGCCAGGACGAAAACCACACTGTTCCTCCTCGATCCGAGACTCGACTATCCGACGGACCCTCCTCTCCAGAACCGCTGAATAGACCTTCCCAGGGAGGCTTAAGAGTGTGATCCCCCTGTAGTTGGAACACACCCTTCGGTCCCCCTTTTGAAATAGGGGGACCACCACCCCAGTCTGCCAATCCAGCGGGACTGCCCCTGATGTCCACGCGATGTTGCAGAGTCGCGTTAGCCAACGCAGTCCCACAACATCCAAAGCCTTAAGGAACTCCGGCCGGATCTCATCCACCCCCGGGGCCCTGCCGCCGCGGAGCTTTTTGACTACCTCGGTGACTTCAGCCCCGGAGATTAGAGATCCCAACTCCGGATCCCCAGGCTCTGCCCCTCCAATGGAGGACGCGCCCGAGTGGGCCGTGTTCCGTGCCTCCATCGATGACGCGGCCTCCCGGAGCTGCGGTCGCAGGGCTGTCGGTGCCTGTCGTGGCGGCAACCCTCGAACCCGCTGGTGGACACCGGCGGTGAGGGATGCCGTCAGGCTGAAGAAGGAGTCCTATCGGGCCTTTTTGGCCTGTGGGACTCCGGAGGCAGCCGATGGGTATCGGCAGTCCAAGCGACGTGCGGCTCGGGTGGTCGCCGAGGCAAAAACTCGGGCGTGGGAGGAGTTTGGGGAGGCCATGGAAAAAGACTTCCGTACGGCCTCGAGGCGATTCTGGTCCACCATCCGGCGTCTCAGGGGGGGGAAGCAGTGCCCCACCAACACTGTTTACAGTGGGGATGGGGTGCTGTTGACCTCAACTCTTGACGTTGTGGGTCGGTGGGCGGAGTACTTCGAGGACCTCCTCAATAAAGAAATTGAAATGGTTTGTTAAAATTGTGGGATTGGCAGCATCATCCTGTGTGTCACGGGACGGTGAGGAGAAGACCCCAAGGCGGAGACAGACACGATGGAGGCTTGCTAGTTCTCGCAGTCAGAAGGTCTTTATTAAGACACAAACGTAAACAGTCCAGAGCAGAAAAAACAAATTCCTCAGACCAGAGGTACGGCAGGCAAATCAATACTCCGGCACCAAGTCCTGAAACATTTCAGTATATAACACATAGAGGAAATTAACAACATAGGGAACAGGTGCGCAAAAAGGAAACTACAGGCAGGAGAAAAAACCAGGACCGAACAAAAATTTAAGCTGGACCAGGAGCCACAGCCGGGGCTGTGACAGTACCCCCCCCTCGAGAACCGCCTCCAGGCGGAGCGCCGGGCTTGTCAGGGTGAGCCCTGTAAAAGTCAGAGAGAAGGGACGGGTCAAGGATAAACCGACGAGGCACCCAAGAGCGTTCCTCAGGCCCGTACCCCTCCCAGTCCACCAAAAACTGCAGACCCCTCCCGCGACGACGCACATCCAAAATACAGTGAACAGAGTACGCGGGGCCACCATCCACCACCAGGGGGGGGAGGTGGGGGCTCGGCCGGAGGGCCAAGGGCACAGGAGGAAACCGGTTTCAATAAAGAAACATGAAACGTAGGGTGTACCCGAAGAGAGTCGGGAAGTCTCAAGCGTACCGCCGAGGGGTTAATGACCTTGTCCACCGGAAAAGGACCAACGTAACGGGGGGCCAATTTACGTGAATCCACCTGCAGGGGTAAATCCCGCGTAGACAGCCACACCATCTGCCCCGGCCGGTAGGAGGGTGCAGGAGAACGACGGCGATCAGCCAGTCTCCTGTTCCTGGCAGCAGACCGCCCTAACGCAGCCCGAGCCTCCACCCACACCCTGCGGGCCCGTCGTAAATGGTCCCGAACTGACGGAACAGAGACCTCACCCTCCTGGGAAGGAAACAACGGGGGTTGAAAACCATTCATGGCCATAAATGGTGACATGCCCGTAGCCGAGGAGGAGAGGGAATTGTGGGCATACTCAATCCACGGCAACTGAGTGCTCCAGGAAGATGGGTTACGCGCGCAGACACACCGAAGGGCCGCCTCCAGGTCTCGATTGGCCCGTTCGGTTTGGCCGTTAGTCTGAGGATGGTACCCTGAAGACAGGCTAACTGTCGCCCCCAGAGCCTCACAAAACGCCCGCCAGACCCGGGAAGAGAACTGGGGGCTCCGATCTGATACCAGATCCGTAGGGATGCCATGAAGCCGGAAAACATGCTGGACCAATAATCCAGCAGTCTCCAGAGCAGAGGGAAGCTTGGGTAAAGGTACAAAGTGTACCGCTCTAGAAAAGCGGTCCACAATGGTAAGAATGGTGGTGTTACCTGCAGAGGGTGGTAACCCAGTAACAAAATCCAGAGCAATGTGGGACCAAGGTCTAGAGGGAATGGGAAGTGGTCTCAGCAACCCCGCTGGTCTCTGGCGCGAAGCCTTACCACGAGCACAAACTGCACAGGCTGCTACAAACTCCTTAGCATCGCGGTTCAGGGTGGGCCACCAGAACCGCTGGCGAATAAGCCCCAGTGTCCGGGCAACCCCAGGGTGACAAGCCAAATTAGAGGAATGTCCCCACTGACCCCCACTGGAACAAACAAACAGTTCGGTGGAACATTACTGGGGCCTGGATCCCCACCCAATGCCTCTTGGACCTGCTGCTCAACCTCCCACTGGACTGCCCCAACAATACACCTGGCAGAACGAGCTCGACTGGCCCAACGGGAGACTGGCTCTCCATCTGGCGAGAGAGAGCGTCAGGTTTCCCGTTGCGAGAACCCGGTCTGTATGACACCGTAAAATTAAAACGTCCTTAAAAACAAAGCCCACCTGGCCTGTCGGGAGTTAAGGCGTTTGGTGTCCCGGAGGTAAACCAAGTTCTTGTGGTCAGTCCACACTAGGAACGGAACCTCAGAACCCTCCAACCAGTGCCTCCACTCCTCCAAGGCCAAGACGACTGCCAGCAGTTCGCGATTCCCCACGTCATAATTACGTTCTGCTGGAGAGAGGCGACGGGAAAAGAAGGCACAAGGACGTCTGTTAGAGTGCTGAGAGAGCACAGCTCCCACCCCCTCGTCGGACGCATCCACCTCCACCACAAACTGTTTGGAGGGATCCGGATGAACGAGGACCGGAGCCGAGGTGAACAAAGCCTTAAGCCTTTGGAAGGCGTGTTCTGCCTCAGAGGTCCACGCAAAAGGGCGAGCGGTGGAATTGAGTTGGGTGAGGGGCGCAGCTACCCTACTAAAATCACGGATAAAGCGCCGGTAAAAGTTGGCGAAGCCAAGAAAACGCTGGAGCTGCTTGCGCGTCTCTGGTGTGGGCAGGGCCGGATTTAGGAGGATGGGGGCCCCTGGGCTGGAGTCAGGATGGGGGCCCCTGGGCTAGAGTAAAAAAAAATATATATATATATATATTTGTATGTGTTTGTTTTGTTTTAGAGGATGAGCAGAAAATGACCGAACAGTAAGTTTTGACAACTTACAACTTTAATAAGCCAGTTGTCACAAACTACAAACAACTCTGAACTCTTTTCTAGAAAGACTAAACCACATGTTGGGGTTGAAACTAGAATATGATGCTTGCATCACAAAATAAAATCACTGAATAGTGAACACAAACTATAAAACAGATTGAGTGCAAGAAAGTGCAATGCTCAAATATACTTTTACAAAGCAAAGCGAGTAAAACAATATTTATACAAATATCCCCAGCATTTACAAGTCCAAATAAGTACAAGTGGAATATATCAAAACTCAAACTTTTTCTTTGGTTTTAAAGTTCTTGGTAAATAGTGGAGGAAATAAATGTCAAAAAAGTGCTTCTCTGCCAGTCAGACAGAACATGGATATAAACAATATCTTCTGGAAAAAAGAGATCAGGCATACTGTAGTTTTCAGAAAATATCCTGACCCAGGTAAGTCCAAAGTGCTGCCCTCTGAAGGATTTTCTACAGCCCCCGGTTCTCAATAAAAGCAGAGGTGGGTGCAAATGAACAATTTTCATCTTCTAGACCAAGGTTTTTACAGAGAACATCTTGAAAAATATGAAGAACAGAATACAGATTTCCATTTATTAATGACACTTTTGCATTCAACTTCTTTGTAGGAACTCGAACCACAAACACGATCTACATTTACTTAAACGCAAACCAAATAAGAAAACAATACTAAACCCTGAAAAGTTTGAAACTTTGAGCCTGTCTTATAATGCAGACATGCACAATCTTTGTTTTGCATCTACAATCATTTAAATTTTTACTTTAATTTAGCAGATAAACTTTAAAAAAGACCAAGTTTGTTTTCAAATTATTTTACAGCCCCATAATTCTTTTAACATAATTTTAACCCTCATGTCAAAAGGTTTTGATACCACTGCTAACCAGATAACCCTTTCAGTAATGAGTGAAAGGGTTATCAGACATTTAAGCTTTAGTCTGATGTGAAATTTGAAAAGTTGCCCACTTTTCTGGATTTTTTTGCTGCAAATTCCTTGACAAGATCGCTGAAGTCCAGCTTTCTCACTAGATCACTCTCAATAAACATGAGATTCAAATGGTTCAGTCTTTCTTGTCCCATTGTGGATCTGAGTCTATTTTTAACTATTTTAAGCTTGGAGAATGATCGCTCACCACTTGCATTTGTGACAGGAAATGTCAGGTAAAGCCTGAAAGCAATATCCACATTTGGGAAGATGTCCTGCAGTTTCTTTTCCCTAATGAATTGTAAAAGCAATGGAGCAGATGTGATGCCTTTATCACGAATAAAATCTTTAAACTGGACAATTTCCTCCACAAAGTCCATCTCCAAGTCAGCTGAATATTTACTTTGGAGATGAGATGCTTTGTTTCTTAGCTCTGGAACAGTAACACCAGAAAAATTGTTCAGGAAGCCAAAAGTGTTGTTGAGGTTATCATATGCAATATACCTGCGATTGATTTCAGAAAGCAATCTGTCAACAACCACCAAAAAAACACTGGTGGAGAACTTTTGTTGAGCTGATAAGTCAACCTCTGAGGTGGCGCTCTCTCCAAAAAACGGTTTTGGAGTCTTTGATCTTCGACCAGTAACTCTGTAAGCTTGTGAAACTGTTGGAGACAACTTCTTTGCTTGAGACTCAAACCTATCAAATTGATCTCTCAGACCTCCAATGTACTCCCGCAAGGATCCTACCAAATCCACAGCTGTACACAAGTCCAGTTCCACAGACTGCAAAGCTGCACTTGCTTTTTCAAAGCGCTGCAAAATGCAATGCCAAAATGTACACATAAAAGCTGTTTCAAGCTTGTCCATTTTTTTATCAAGTGATCTTGCTTCATTTCTTATTGCTGCGTTTTGGTTTGTGTCATTTACAATATTCTTCAATGATTTTTTAATGTTTGCATAGTTAATATGCACTGCCTGTGTGGCATCTGCATGTGCAGCCCATCTAGTGTTCGAAAGGGACTTCAATGTTTCAATGCGCTTGTTTGCATTAGGCTGCAGTCCATCTGTTACCACCTTCCACCTTGCTGTCGACTTGGAGCAAAAGTTAAATAAATTTTGCACAAACTGGAAAAAATCAGCTGTCTCAAAACAGCATTTAACACTATTAACTCCAACCAAATTCAGGGTATGTGCAGCACATGGAACCCATTCAACTAGTGGGTTGAGTTCTTTCATACGTGCTTGTAGTCCTTTATATACTCCTGACATGTTGGCAGCATTATCATAGCATTGTCCCCTGCAGTTTGCGATGTCAATCCCCATCTCTTCCAAAACTTTGAGTACAGACGCACATAAAGCTTCCCCAGTACGACTTTCAATTGGTAGAAACTTCAGAAAGCGTTCCTGCGAGTGTCCTTCAGGTGACACATATCTTAACACAAATGTTAACTGATCAACATGTGCCACATCTGGCGTGGAGTCAACAGAGACTGAGAAGTATTTTGCCATTTTTACTTCACTCACTATTTCTGATAGAACACGATCACCCATCAGCTGAATAAATTCCTCACATGTTTGGGAAGAAAGATATGAGGGTTTCCCTGAACCTGCATTTCCATATTTCTCTATATGAGACTTCAGAAAAGGATCAAACTCGCTGATTAACTCCAGTATTCCCAGATAATTCCCATTATCAGTTCTTCCAAATTTGTCACTGGCTCCTCTCAGAGCCAGTCCCCTCTCTGCTAAAAACTTGACAACAGACACAACTCTTCTCAACACTTCAGTCCAATATGAACATTCAGATTCAAATTGTTTCTGCAGTTCTGTGTCTATCCTCCCGCTGGCTGCTGCAAGTGAAACATATGTCAGCATTGCTTTTCTATGATGTTCGCTGTTTTCGTGCTCTCTCATGCGTTCAGTTGCGTGCTTCCAGTCACTGAAACCAGTTTCAAAGTTTGACTGAGTAGTAGCACTGGTGAAAATGCGGCATGCAAAACAAAATGCAGCTCCGGTGGATGGAGAGTAGAGCAGCCACGGTCTTTCGACGTACTCACCATTTAACATCTTGCGTTTAAAATGAGATTTGGAGAAGTGACGCTTTTGATGCTTGTACACCCGTTCTGATGCTTGAAAGCCAACATTCATATTTTGACAGCTCTCCGGTCCTCGCTCAGCCCAGTAAGCTCGCACGGACTCGTCAATTTTCCCCCAATGCGCCGGATCGGTACGGTACGGATCCACAGTCGTTTTTCCATCTGCGGAAGAAGATCCCGTTTCCACCGACTCTGACTCCACAGATGCCAGTCCAGCCACCGACTCAGTCACGGTTAAAGGTTCTGGCGGGATCTTAGTGCCGGTGTTAGCATAGCTAAGGGTTTGAGGAGCGGGGGATAATGATGTTTCGGCTCCATCTCCGCTAACAGGTTTAAAAAAGCCTGTCAATTTATGCATTTTGTTTGTCGCCTCTGTAGCGCGATGCTCTTTTTCTTTTCTATTCTTTCTTTTCTGCGCTCCGCTGTCATATTTTCTGTTGTCCGCCATTGTAAAATAATATTCCCTTGACGCTCCTCCTCCCCAATGCGTAAGATGCGTCAAAGTGGACCAATAACAAGCAAGCATTCAAGATGGACGTTTGTCAGAACAAATTGGAACATTTTTCATCGGTGCTGTCAAAATCATCGTAGTCATTGATTAAATTCTGACACTATCCATTCACAAAAATGTAAAACATCCTTCGGGGCCCCCGAAATGCGTGGGTGTGGGCCATTCCGCCACTGCCTGGACCTCAGCTGGGTCGGAGCGAATCTGACCCTTCTCTATGACAAAACCCAGGAATGAGACAGACTGGAGATGGAATTGGCATTTTTCAGCCTTGACAAAAAGTCTGTTCTCCAACAGTCTCTGAAGCACAAACCGAACGTGCTCGTGATGTTCCTCAACACTGGGGGAAAACACCAAAATGTCATCTAAATAAACAAAAACAAAACGGTTCAGACAATCACGGAGTACATCATTAACCAGGGCTTGAAACACAGCAGGAGCATTAGTTAACCCAAAAGGCATAACCAAATATTCAAAATGACCCAGAGGAGTATTGAATGCCGTCTTCCACTCATCACCTTCCCGAATACGGACCAGATGGTAGGCGTTCCGTAGGTCTAGTTTAGTAAACACGGTAGCCTGGTGAAGGGAGTGGAAGGCTGAATCCAATAGGGGAAGGGGATATTTGTTTCTCACAGTTATGGCATTAAGGCCACGATAGTCAATACACGGACGTAAAGACTTGTCTTTCTTGGACACAAAGAAAAAACCAGCCCCCACAGGAGAGGAAGAGGGCCGAATCAAACCAGTAGCTAACGACTCCTGGATGTAGCTCTCCATCGCCCCCCTCTCAGGACGAGACAGGTTGTATAACCGGCTCGAGGGAAGAGACGCACCAGGTAGGAGGTCAATCCCACAATCATAGGGACGGTGGGGGGGGGAGAGATAGAGCTCGTTGTTTGCTGAAAACCTCTGCCAGATCGTGATAACATGTGGGGACCCCGGACAGATCCGGTGAATAGGGGGGTTTACCAGGGGCGTGACATGAGGAACGGCTGATTTAAGGCAGTTATTATGACACGCAATGCTCCAACTAATAATGGAATTACGGTCCCAATTTATGTGAGGATTGTGAAGTCTCAGCCACGGGAGCCCCAAAACAACAGGAGTGTGAGGAGCTGGCATGACAAAAAAACTAATAAGTTCCTGGTGGTTGCCAGAGATGCGCAAACACAAAGGAACTGTCTGGTGGGTAATGACAGTTAACAATCTCCCATCCAAGGCATTAACCTGGCGAGGTGCCAGCACAGGAAACACCGGAACATTGTAACGACTAACAAAATCCTCGGCCATGAAGTTCTCATCAGCCCCAGAGTCTACAAATGGGTTTATAGGCACCTCCACATGGTTGACGACTAAAACCGCAGACAACAATGTTCGAGGGGGGGACAGTATCCTTATTCAGGCTCTGGCTTACCTGGTCATCCCCTTTTACAGGCGAGCCTAAGCGTTTCGGAATATTAGGGCAGCGGTCGCGGAGGTGTCCAGGGAGACCACAGTACAGGCACAGCCGTCCCTGGATCCTGCGCTGTCGCTCTGCCGGATGCAGCTTGGCCCTTCCCAGCTGCATAGGTTCAGAACCAGCTGGAGACTCCGGAGGACACACCTCCAGAGGCGGGACCGTCGCTCCCCGACTGGGAGCCGCAGCGGGAACCAGTGTGAACAGGGGAGTGACGTAACGCCGGTCCCGTTCCCGACGTCTCTCTCGAAGACGGTTATCCAAACGACGCGCCCGGGTCACCAAATCTGCCAAGGTGTCGGACTCATCCCTGGCCGCCAATTCGTCTTTCAGGTTCTCGTTGAGAGAACGGCGAAATACATCCATCAGAGCCGGCTTATCCCACCCGCACTCTGTTGCCAAGGTAGCGAACTCCACGGCGTGGTCAGCCACTGACCTGGCGCCCTGGCGAAGGGAGAGCAGGCGGTCGCCGGCCTCTCTGCCTCGAACGGGATGATCAAAAACACCTCGCATCTCCGTCACGAAGCGTTGGTAAGAAGCGCAGGCCCAGGTGTTGCCCTCCCACACCGCCAGCGCCCACTGCGCAGCGCGTCTAGTGAGGAGGCTGACGATGTACGCCACCTTGGCTCTATCGGACTGGTACATCTGGGGCTGCAGATCAAACACCAAACCGCACTGGAGGAGGAAGCGCCCACATCCTCCGATCTCTCCAGCGTAGCTTTCCGGCATCGGCAGGTGAGGCTCCCGGTGGGGGGCGGAAGACGCAG